CTTACTGCTGAGTAGCACTCCACAATATACATGTGCCACAGTTCCTTTAACCATTTACCCACTGAAGAATATTTGGGTTTGTTTCCAGTTTTTGGCTATTATGAATACAACTGCTATGAACATTTGCGTACAGGATTTTATATGAACATAGTTTTTATTTCTGTGGGATAAATACCCGAGAGCACAATACATTTGCTGGGTTTTTTGGTAAGTGCAAACTCCTTTTTTTTTTTTTGAGATGGAGACTTGCTCTGTCACCCAAGCTGGAGTGCAATGGCGTGATCTCAGCTCACTGCAACCTCCGCCTCCCAGGTTCAAGCGATTCTCCTGCTTCAGCCTCCGGAGTAGCTGGGACTACAGGCGCCTGTCACCACGCCCAGCTGAGTTTTGTATTTTTAGTAGAGACAGGGTTTCACCATGTTGGCCAGGCTGGTCTCTCGATCTCCTGACCTCATGATCCGCCCACCTCGGCCTCCCAAAGTGCTGGGATTACAGGTGTGAGCCACCTGGACCGACCAGAGGGTCACTTGTTATCTATGAAGAGATCTGAACCCCTGGCCTGTTCTAACGGACAGGCTGTACAGGGGGCCAGGCCCTTTTTTTCTGGCTTAAATGGGGGTTGCTAGGTGGAGGGGGCTCCATAGAGATCGCTGCCTAAATTGCATGTTTTTTGCAAATGAAGTTGTCTCTCCCGTCCAGTGGGCTGCCATTGGATCACTCCCGTATCCAGGTCCCCAATAAACCCCACGTCTCATTCACTGGCTCTGGGTCTCTTCTTTGGCCTCTCAGACATGGTACCATTCTCACTGGGGTCAACAGGGGTCTGGCACGCCATGTTGTTAGTGCCACCAGAGCAGGGCTGGCTTTCTCGCTATGTCCTCGGCTCCTCCCACAGTGGGTGTTTGGTAGATATTGTTCATGGCATGGCTTTGGGACAGGTGACATGGACTGGTGAGAAGAGTCTCAGAGCAGCCTGTTGAAAAACTTCCGGGCCAGCAGTAAGGGGGCCTGAGCTGGGGAATGGGTGGGGTCTAGGGAAGGGAAGATGAGCTGATGGAGAAGGAGAGACTTTTCCAAGGGGCGGGCTCCCCTCCATCCTTCCCCCTGCCTGCCACACACACCCTGCCTGCTGCTCAGCGATGGCTTCACAGCCTTTCCTGCCTGCCTGCCCAGTGGCAGGGAGCAGAAAGAGAGTTCCTATAGGAAATAGACATGGTGTGGATGGCATGTGGGGAGACTCTAAGAGGCTTAGCTAGCTCCTTTTTCATGAGTGTGTTTACAGCGTGTATGTGTAATGACACACACAGCGTGGGGGTGTATATCGCATGGTGTGTATCTCTGCGGGGTGTGTTCTTGTACACCAGTGCAGGGCACATATGTGTTATGCTGCGGGTTTGTCCACACAATAAAGCAACAACTTCCTCTCCAGAATGGGAGGACTGTTGCCTCTGGTGTCCTTTCTGCCCGTTCTTTGGAGCGTCCCAGCAGGTGCCCTGCCTGTGAATCTGTTGGCTCTCCTCTCTTCTGACAGCGTGAAGCTCCTTCTGCAGCCAGACAGACCCCAGCAGCAATTCCGAGCGGATGCCCGCTGTCCAGCTTGGACTAGTTGCTCTAAAGCCTCGCAGCCTGTTTTGGGGACTGCTAAGGAGATTAATAACACCTACCCCACAGGGTGGCAGTGACAGTGAGGAAAGACACGCTATGATGAGCTTGGAATAGCACCTGGCACACAGTGGGTGCTCAGTACACAGTGGTGCATTCGAGCATTCCAAATGCACGAATGCTCCCCAGGGGACCCTCAGTACAGAAATGGATTGAGTCTGGGCTGGGTGTGGTGGCTCATGCCTGTAATCCCAGCACTTTGGGAGGCCGAGGTGGGAGGATCACTTGAGCCCAGGAGTTCAAGATCAGCCTAGGTACCATGGTGAGACCCTGTCTCCGTGAAAAATAATTAATTAAAAACAATTTTTAAATGGTTGGGCGTGGTGGCTTATGCCTATAATCCCAGCACGTTGGGAGTCCAAGGCGGGTGGATCACCTGAGGTCAGGAGTTTGAGACCAGCCTGGACAACATGGTGAAAACCCATCTCTACTAAAAAATATACAAAAATTAGCTGGGCATGGTGGTGGGCGCCTGAAATCCCAGCTACTCGGGAGGCTGAGGCAGGAGAATCAGTTGAACCCTGGAGGCAGAGGTTGCAGTGAGCCGAGATTGTGCCATTGCACTCCAGCCTGGGCGATAGAGCAAGATTCCATCTCAAAAGAAAAAAAATTTAAAAATTTTTTAATTTTCAAATTTAAAAAAAAATTATTTTTAATTTCTTTGGACCCAAAGAGTTTTGTGGAAGAGCAATTTATTAGAGAGAGAGAAGACAGCTCCCACGCTGCTGTGGTGCGGGAAGGGAACCCAGAGCGGGAAATCCCTAATTTGAAAAATGTTTTAAAGGAAAGAAAGGGACCAGGTCTGTTAGCTGGGCTCCTGGTGACAAGCCTTGCCATGCACACGCATCTTCACTAGTATAAGTTGTGCTCACATTGGCTGTGTGGAGGCCGAGGCAGACACGGACACCCCGTAGTATCCAGTGACGTGTCACACGCAAACTCTAGTACCATGCCGGCCCCCTGCCAACCTGGCATATCCGCCCCCTTATCGACTCAGAATGGTCAAGGTGCCCAGGGGACAGTGCCTCTCAGTAATTTTCCACAACCTAAGAAAAGCTGCATCTCTCTTGGAAGTAGGGAAAGGGGAGGCCTTGTTCCTGAGGCTTCCCTTCTGCTATCCTTGTTCTTGTAAGGCTGACTGGCTGAGTTTTTGGGTGGAGGGGCTGAGACTCCCAGCCTGTCTGGGATGGTGCTGAATGTGGCTGGAGGTTATGATTGCTTTGGTCTCCCCACCCTTCAGAGGATGCCCTGTGCAGAGCCTTGGGTCTGCAGCACCCAGCCCATAAGGTCCTATTAATCAAAATCCTTTCTGGGGCCTGGGAGCTCCTTGAGGGCAGGGGCTGTGTCTCCCACAGGTCCAGGGCTTCAGCACCCAGTACAGGAGCAGGTATTCATTAACTGAATTTTTTTTTTTGAGACAGAATCTTTCTCTGTTGCCTAGGCTGGAGTGCAGTGGTGTGATCTCAGCTCACTGCAGCCTCTGCCTCCCAGATTCAAGTGATGCTTCTGCCTCAGCCTCCTGAGTAGCTGGGATTACAGACACCTGCCACCACGCCCAGCTAATTTTTGTATTTTTAGCAGAGATGGGGTTTCGCCATGTTGCCCAGGCTGGTCTGGAACTCCTGACCTCTAATGATCCACGCACCTCGGCCTCCAAAGTGCTGAGATTACAGGTGTGAGCCACCGCACCCGGCCTTTTTTTGGATTTCAATCCCACCTCCAGGGGTTGGGGAGCTGTATTCAGTGGTGATTAGGTGTGGGCTGAGGCTTGGAATTACACAACCTCTTGAGCCTGAGCTTCGCTTTCTGTTAATTGGGGTAACAATGACGACGCCTTCCTCATAGGGTTGTTCTAGGAACGACGAGAAGGAACGAATGCAAAGTGCTCAGGGGGTGCCTGACCCCATATACTAAGCCCAGGGCCCGCCCTCTTCATCCCAGAGACACTGCCCCCCCCCAGTGTTCTCGGCTCTGGGCACCCCCAAATTTCACAGGCTGCTAAGACAACACTAGCTTCTGTCACAAAATGCGAGCTTCCTTATGAGCTGGGGTGGGGGGAGGTATTAACAGCCAACTTTAAAATCAGGCAGGAAAAAAGGTGCTGAGGAGAGAGGAAGTAATAATTTTGACTCCAGCTTGGGCAAGGCAGGCTGGGAAGAGGAAGTGTCTGGGGTTGGATTGGGTCCTGTTTAGGTAAGGGAAAGACTTCAGTGGCAGACACAGGAGCAGTAAGATCGTCAGGGGGCCCGTGCCCAGCCTACCCACGCACAATCTCACTTAGTCCTCGCAACAGCCGCTTGACCGAAGCGGAACCTGGGACAGGCATGCGCGAGGAGTCAGCTGGCCCCATTCTCAGCCTCGGGGAAGAGTATTTCTTGACGAGGGACGAGCACGAGGAAGGCACGGAGGAGGATGAGAGGCGGGGCCACGCACGAACCTGTGGGCTGCCATGCTGTGCCCAGCTCCGTGCTGGCTTCTGGGGACCCCCAGTGGACAAGACGCACAAGGTACCTGCTCTCACGGGAAGGGGGAGCCAGTAACAAGCGCACCTAATTTCGGAGAATGAGAAGCACTCTGAAAATAAAGAGGTAGGGCTGGGGAGGGTCCTGGCAATTTAAACGGGCAGGAGTCTGTTGGGGGATTAAGACCAACCCCAGGTCTAGGCCCGCCTCGGGTTGGGGACAGAAGCTGTGCCTGAGTATGGTGCAGGACGCAGCTGCAGAGGAGCGCTTCCGATAACACTTGACGCTCGCCACGTCCCTGCAAAGTGCTCCCGCCACCATTCTACAGATGAGCAAAAGGGACGCGCAACTCGCCCGTCCAGGTGGGGCTGTGACGCTTACTCCGCTCCCTAGCGCTTCCCGAACACGCGACGGCGCCTGCGCGGGAGGCTCTGGGGGGGAGTGGCCTTCCCGGTGGGCGGGGCCAACGGCTCTGGCGGAGGGGGCGGGACGCGCGTCCTGGCTCCACCCTCCCTGGGCGGGGCCTCTGGGCGCCGGCGTGCCGTTGGTTTCGCAACGGAACCTTCACGCGGCGGGGGAGGGCGCGCGGGGGAAGGCTTTGAGGCGGCGCAGCTGCCGGCTAACGCCGAGGGGCGCCTGGAGGCGGCGCAGCGTCCGCTCGGGCTCCGACTCCGGCTCAGGCTCAGGCTCTGTCTGGCTCTCGCTTCCAGCCCGCGTGCGCGCGCAGTCCCCCACGAGGACCGTCCCCCCGCCCCGCCCAGCGTGGGGGGCGCGCGGCCGAGAGACCCGGAGGCGTCGTCACCCGCAGTGGAGCTGGAGGAGGAGAAGCGGGAGCGTGAGCTGGAACCAGCGTCTGGGAGGCGCCGCAGGTGAGGGGGGCGGGGCGGGCCGCGGCCCCTGCATCTGGAGCCCTTGGGGACCCCGAGACCCTCAGGATCCACCCGGGCTCCGGGACCTCCTTTCAGCTCCCCGCTGGAGCCCCTGCCCTCGAGACCCCCTCAGGATCCGCCCGGCCCCTCCAGGCCCGCGAACCTCGAAACTCCCTCGATTTCCTCTGGACTCTGAGGACCTCGGCCCTGAGAACCGCTGGTTCCGGAAACTCTCGGGCGGCCGCCTCTGCAGCCCCCAGGTCCCCCTACCTTCCGGGGGGAGCCGGGAGTTCCAGTGTCCTGAGCCCCCCGGGCTGCCGTGCCGCCCACCCCGAGGCTCCCTCTCCGACTGGGTTTCTCCAGCGAGGGGTCCCTGGATCTGCGGGGCGCGGGTGGAAGTGTCCCCAGGGCCGGTGATGACTTCAGGCGTTAACAGCGCGCCGGACGGCGACCTCCCGTAGACGTGGGCTGTGGTCCCTGCGCCCGCATGTGCGGGGCCGGGTTTAACTTTTAAGGCTCTGCTGAGACTCGGGTGGCCGCACAGGACAGTGTCGAGAGCACTGAGGAGGGAGCGAGGTAGGGCACAGGGGGACGCTTTTAGGTTGTCTCCTCTGAATTTTTTCATTCAAAGAACTAACATTTTTTTTTTTTTTTTTTTTTTTCTGAATGCCTGATAGGCTCCAGGAATTGACACTGGAGATGACACAGCCCCAGCTGTCAGGACCTAGGGAACCGGGGCATAAGGAAAGTAGGTCGTTTTAACTGGAGGAGAAAGCCGTGGCCGCGCTGGACGGGAACCCATCTGAGAAAGGGTGGGATTCTGGGGAAGGGATTGGCCATAAGGAGGGCTGCTTAGGAGTGCGGGGAGGAGGTGCTAAGTAACAGGTGAGCTGATTCTTGAAGGTTGAGAAGTTTGCCAGGGTCATTCCAGGCAGACTTCCCGGGGACAGCCAGTAGGTGAAAAGGCAGGGAGGCTGCCACACACAGTGTTGGATGGAAGGCGGGAGGTGTGGCTGGAGGAGGGAGTGCTAACTGCGGAGAACCCAGCTTGGCTCCCCCAGGCCCACCATGCCCTTGACCCTTTACTGAACACCTGCACTTGCCGTTGCCCTGAGAAGTGACCCAGCTGAGCTGAAGGAAGGCGGGAGGTGGGCAGGGGGAGAAGTGAGGGAAGTGTCCCAGTAGAGACTCGGAGTGGGAGAAGCTGGGACTTTTGCAGAGTGCTGGGTTTGAGGTGGGAGTGACGGGAAAGAGGATGTGATTCTGAGAGCCAGTCAGGACTAAAGCATGCCCAGTGTAAGCCGAGCGGAGGGTTTGGTGCTTTAGGGGAGTGAGAGGGCGTCGAAGGGCTTCAGGAGGAGAGAGGCAGCAGTTGGTGTGTTTTTGAACAATCCATATGACTGTGGTGGGGGACTCTTTTTGGAAGAAGCAAGACCCTGTGAGAGATGGGGGTGACCTGGACCAAGGCGGTGGTTGTGGGGACCGTGACTTCCTGGAACTTTTGAAGTGAGGTTTCTGTCCTGTTACCGTAAGGCCTGTAGTTGCTACAGTGCTTCAAGGTGGCTGGATGTCTGTGCATCACTATCACCTAATGACCACACAGGACACAGTGGGCCAGGGTGAGGAGAGGCGGAGTCTCAGAAGTGGGCCAGGACCATGCTGGGCTAGGGGTCCTGAAGAGAACCCATGTGTGGGAAAACACCCAGTGTGCTTTTTCTGTTCTCTCAACCATAGTCAACAGAGATGTCTTCTGTGACCAAATACGAGGAGAGGTTTCTCCCCACCACCAAGCAGGCAATCAGCTGTGCAGCAGATACCAACTGAGTATCTTCAATTTAGTTCTGACACTACCTGGAGATAGCATCAGATCCCGCAAGTTGAGGGCTCAGTCCCCCAAGACTACCTCCACCCCTTCGGACAAGGGACACCAGCCCAAGTCTGGGCCTCCGGAACTTCTGATTCACCAGCTTCAAGTTGGGGTTCCCATTACCCTTCCTTAGGTTTGATTAACTTGCTGGGCTCAGTGGCTCATGCTTGTAATTCTAGCACTTTGGAAGGCCGCGGTGGGTGGATCACCTGAGGTCAGGAGTTCGAGACCAGCCTGGCCAACATGGCAGAACCCCATCTCTACTAAAAATACAAAATAATTGGCTGGGCGTGGTGGTGCACACCTGTAATCCCAGCTACTCGGGAGGCTGAGGTGCAAGAATTGCTTGAACTCGGGAGAATGAGGTTGCAGTGAGCTGAGATCGAGCCACTGCACTCCAGCCTGGGATACAGCAAGACTGTCTCAAAAAAAAATTACTATAGGACAACTCACAAAACTCAAGGAAACACTCACATTTACTGGCTTGTCATAAAAGATACTGCAAAGGATACAGATGAAAAGATGCATAGGGCGAGGCATCAGGAAAGCTGTGCAGAGCCTCCATGCCCTCCCCGGGCACCATCCTCAAAAACCTCCACAAGTTTGTATTTGGTTCTCAGAGAGCTCTCAGAACCCAGCCCTTTGGGGCCTTTTATGGAGACTTCCTTATGTAGGCATGCTTAACGAAACCATTGGTGATCAACTTAATCTTTAGCCCCCTCTTCCCCAGGTTGGGGGTGGGGCTGAAAGTCCCAAGGCCTGCCTTGGTCTTTCTGATGATAAGCACCCTCCTGAAGCTGCTCAGGGGCTCTCTGCCCCAGTCAGCTCATTAGCATACAAAATGACAGCACTTTGGAGATGCCAAGGATTTTAGGGGTAGTAAGATAGGATGGAGGACCAAGTTAAAGACTTCACAGTTCACAACATGGCAGGCTGTTGGAGGGGAGACATGTTCAGATGTGTCAGAAATTTCCCTGTGGTGACAGTGTGGGACTAGAGGACTAAAAGGGCTGGAACTGGAAGCAGGTGGCTTTCAGTGTCAGACACGTTGTGATGGTTTGGTTTTTGTTTTTGTTTTGAAATGGAGTTTCCATCTTGCCTAGGCTGGAGTGCAATGGCTCGATCTTGGCTCACCACACCTCTGCCTCCTGGGTTCAAGCGATTCTCCTGCCCCAGCCTCCCGAGTAGCCGGGATTACAGGCATGCACCGCCACACCTGACTAATTTTTTTTTTTTTTTTCCCCATGTTGGTCAGGCTGGTCTTGAACTCCCGACCTCAGGTGATCCGCCCACCTTGGCCTCCCAAAGTAATTATAGGCATGAGCCACCGTGCCTGGCAAGCTAGTGGTAGAAAGAGTAAATAGGCTCAGGAGCGAGTCCTTGCCCAGGTAGTAATAGTTCAGCCAGTACTTGGGGCCAGGCTCTCGCTCCTATGTCCTACTTCCTTCCCCCAAGGAGCCGGCAGCGGCTCCTTGCCAGGAAAATGCTGTCCTCTTGAGTGTCGGCATTGTTCCTCCATGTGTCCCTCCTTATCTGTTCCCACCCTATGCCAAGCTAACCGGGACAGTTGAGTGATAAGCACTGGCCAGGGATAGTCTTTTTGCCTGGGGCTGCTCTGCCACCTCTTCTGTTTGCCTAATGGCAGCTCTTTTCAACATTCCTGGGGAAGGAGAAGCTGTGGAAAACAAAACTGTGTGCTTTATTTGTAACGATTTGGTGGTCAAGAGGTAGAAATGAGTGCCTTAAAGTTTTGAGGTCACAGTGGGCCAGGCAGTGCCCAGGGCAGTGGGAAGAGTATGGGCCACGAGCCAGGACTTACTTTATAGCTTGTTCCCAGCTGCTTGGGGGAGGTTGACAAAGTCACTGGCTCTCAGACTCAATTTTCACTTTTGAAAAATGAGGGCATTTGGTTTCATGTAACCTTTAAGATCCCGCCTGCTCTGATATTCTGTCATTGTAATCTTACCGGAGGTTTACTTTCTGGTATCTTGAGGTGGGGTAAATGCGGGTGGGTCCAGAAGCCCCTGGCCTTTGTCTTGGCATGTTTTAAGTAACACGTTTATTTGAGTTGATGTGTTACATCTGTGGAAAAGGTTGAATATTGAATGTATGGCAGAGTTCGCAGTAAAATGTCATGTATGTATGTTTGCCATTTCAAGCTGTAGTGATGTTAGGAGGAATAGGTCATACATAGCATGGGCCGGCCTGTTAGGAGGGCTCAGTGTTGGCCTCGGCCAGGTTATGGGTAATAGTAGCCACCTCAGGGCTATTGAGGGGGCTAACTGAGGTAGTGTGTGTAAAATGCTTAGCATTTTCCCTGGAATCTATTCAGGGCTGAAAATGTGGTAGTAATTTAATGTTGCTCTTTCAATTAATTTGTGACTAAATTAAATTTGAATTAAGGCCGGGCGAGGTGGCTCAGCCTGTAATCCCAGCTCTCTGGGAGGCCGGGCGCGGTGGTTCAGGCCTGTAATCCCAGCTCTCTGGGAGGCCCGGTGCGGTGGCTCAGCCTGTAATCCCAGCACTTTGGGAGGCTGAGGCGGGTGGATCACGAGGTCAAGATATCGAGACCATCCAGGTCAACATGGTGAAACCCCGTCTCTACTAAAAATACAAAAAATTAGCTGGGCATGGTGGCATGTGCCTGTAGTCCCAGCTTCTCGGGAGGCTGAGGCAGGAGAACTGCTTGAACCCAGGAGGCGGAGGTTGCAGTGAGCTGAGATCGCGCCATTGCACTCCAGCCTGGGTAACAAGAGTGAAACTCGGTCTCAAAAAATAAGTAAATAATAAAATTGAATTAAATTATTTTCCTAGTGGCGGGTTTTGCTGTTTTCTTTTTTTTTTTTTAAAGATGGGGTTTCACCATGTGGCTCAGGCTGGTCTTGAACTTTGATCATCCTGCCTTGGCCTCCAAAGTGCTTGGATTACAGGCGTGAAGCCACCACGCCCAGCTGGGTTTTGCTGTTTTCCTGGTTTGGGTGTATATGTCCAAGCAGCTCTGTTGGGAGGGACTAGTTTCAGGAATCCAATTAATTTATTTCCATCATTACAAAATAAGGCATTTTTCCCATTATAAGTTCACTGAATAAAAAGTGATTAGTTATGTGGAGTGTGTTCAAATGAAGGGCTCATATTTTCTGTAAATTGAAGGAAATAATTCATCCTGAAGATCCCTTATTATTAGTAATGGCTGAAATTAAGTTTGAGCAGAACCACAGTTACACTGAGGTGTAGTTGCGGTGACTGCCTTGGAAAAGTGGTGCTGATGTAGGCATCTAGAGTAACAGAGAAAACGGTGTACTTTATGAAGTACCCTTCAGACAGTCATCGCACTTGAAAGTTTTTGCAGCAGTCCGGTCAGTGATATACGTGTTGGAATCCCCATTTGGCAGATGGGGAAGCTGAGGCTTTGAGAGGTCTCCTGGCTGGGGAAAGGGTGGCGTTTCCTTGTCTCCAGATCCTGTGTTTTCTCCACCTTCTTCCTAGTGCTGCTTCGGGTGGAGTTGTGGTTTCAAGGCTAAGCCTCTCTTTTGCGATCCCAGAAGCTTTTTTTTTTTTGCCCGTTTGCGCCTTGTTTCCAGTTCAGGTGAACCTAGTCATGCTAATCAAACTCGCCAGAAACCTATCAGCTAAATTGCAGATGATTCATTTGTAGTTAGAGGTACAACTGCCAGATGTGCTTGCAGACTGACTCTTGCTCAGTGATTTTTTTTTTTTTCTTTTTTCTTTTTGAGATGGGGTTTCACTCTTGTTGCCCAGGATGGAGTGCAGTGGCACAATCTCAGCTCACTGCAACCTCCACCTCAGGGGTTCAAGCCATTCTCCTGCCTCAGCCTCCTGAGTAGCTGGCATTATAGGTGCGTACCACTATGCCTGGTTAATTTTTGTATTTTTATTAGAGACACGGTTTCACCATGTTGACCAAGCTGGTCTCGAACTCCTGACCTCAGGTGATCCACCCGCCTCGGCCTCCCAAAGTGCTGGGATTACAGGTGTGAGCCACAGTGCCCAGCCTTGCTCTGTGATTTCTGCTGCCACGCTCTTCCTCCTCTCTCCAGCCTACATGGGAAACCTGGTTGCTGTGAGACAGGATGTTTGTGGGACCTGTATGAGAATGAGGGAAGAGGAGGATGTTAATGAGCAGGGTCTGGCCACGGAGCTTCTGTAGCAGGCTCTCATCTGCCATTTGCTGAGGGCCATGCTGAGAAGGGCTTGCTTGAAGACTCCTGTCTTCCAGACCTGCCTTGGTGTAGTCAGAGCACTGTGGATGGATTCCGGTCCTGAAGATCCACCTGGGTACATGGATCACAGTCAGTGTCTCCAAGTCTCCTGTCTCCTGTCGGTAGCACATTTATAAATGGCTTCTTAGTGTGAGGTCCTTTGGTAACGGCGGCAGGAGTAATATTGGTTCTAATAGTCCTGTTGCTGGGCTTTGCTCCAAGGCCTCAGCTTAAATCAACTCATTTTGTCGGGGTCCGGCACGTCTGCCAGGGGGGCTACCGACCCGCAGGAGTCCCTGAGACCACCAACGTAGATGTCTCGTTCAATCTGAGGGAGAGAGCGCGCGGAAAAGAAGGAATACAGGAAAGTCGAGTCTGGAGGTCTGCGTGCAGTCAAGCAGCACACAGCCCTTTATTTTTGTAGGTTACAGCTTTTATACCTCTTTTCTTGTTACATTCACTTTAGCTCAGCAGAAAAGGGGGCAAACAGAAAAGGGAACAGAAATCACGTAAAAATAGTTATCAGGGGCCTGTGATAACAGCTCACAAAGCAGTCTAAGGGTTAATATATGTTTTTCAAAGATACACAGTGCGAGCAAACAGTGGTTCCTTAAAGGTGGCTTGTAATTATGCTTTCCATCAGGAGGTAGAGCAAAGGCTCAGCTCCTCAGAGAATATGGGCAGGGGTCTTTGCCCCTCTCAGGCACCTCAATTGCGGCAAGCCTGTTGCCTACACAGAGACTAAAGGGGATATGAAGCAGTCAGCACAATGTCCTCGCAGACCGCAGGCCCTGACTCTGCATTCTGTTCTTGCCTCGGTGGCTTAGCCATTCTTTTCCCTCAACTCAACAGCCCTCGAGAGCGGGGGGAGAGCAGCACAGGTCCAGCAGCCAAGATGGGCGAGTCACGCTAACTGTCTCAAGCCCTTGGCGTGAACGCTGCCATCATTTGTCACCACAGTGACCTTGTTTGACTTTCTTTGCAAATTCTGGGTCGTTTTCTTCTCACTGTGTGGACTGACTCCTGGTGAGTTAAAGGTCAGCATTTGGAAACTGCTGAATGAATGTGACACCGCTCACTCCTGTGTGAGGTGGATACGTTTTGAGCATGTGTCTCTCTGATCCCTCTTGCTTCATTGTAATCAGCTGCAGCTTGGACGCTTTATCTCCCTGCTTTTTGAAACTGCTCAAAGCCCATATGATGATCTATTTACAGAAAGAAATTAAGAGGGTCGGGCGCAGTGGCTCACACCTGTAATCCCAGCACTTTGGGAGGCTGAGGCAGGTGGATCACTTGAGGTCAGGAGTTTGGGACCAGCCTGGCCAACATGATGAAACACGCCTCTACTAAAAAAAAAAAAAAAAAAACACAAAACTATCCCGGGGCGGTGGCATGTGCCTGTAATCCCAGCTACTTGGAAGGCTGAGGCAGAAGAATTGCGTGAACCGGGAGGTTGCAGTCAGCTGAGATCCCGGCATTGCACTCTAGCCTGGGCAATAAGAGTGAAACTTTCTTGAAGAAGAGGTTTTTTTAAAGGATACTTTTGAGGATCCCACAGTCTTGACACTTGCCGTTGAGAGTTGATGCTTGTTAAGGGAAAGCATAGCTTGTAACGGAAAGTGAGTAATTTAAGCTCTTTTTGTTATGCCGCTTTCAATAATTGCAGTTCTTGACACACGTTCCCCTCTGCCGTCAGAGCCTTGTGGATGTTCGCTCATTTGTCTGCTCTGTTTTCCTTGGCACCCTGGGCTTCTCCTTGTCCCACGAGGGTTTTAGACAGCCACAGCCTGTTTGCTAGCTCAGCACCTCAGTGCCAGGGCCACGGCCCAGCCCAGCAGCCTTCTGCAAGGCTCGCTAGGGTCACTCACGCAGTTGTGGCCTGCGGCAGCCTTGCTCTTGTGTTAGTGGATGGTACTTGGCTTCCCACCGGTGGCAGGCCAGAGCTCGGCAGCACAGAGTCCCCCCGGGACAGGCTCTGTGGTAAAGAGCTTGTCAAACTGGTACTTGCTTCCCGTTATCCCATTTGCTATGATATCCCAGTGGCCAAAAAGTCACATGGCTAAGCCTGGAGTCTACAAGGGACTGTAGAAGGGTGTGGCTGCCAGCAGGCATGAGAGGGGCGGGGCAATTAACATCCTACCACAGTAGGCTTGTGAGGTGCTTTGTTTTCTACCTGTAAATAACAAGTTCAATTTTGGTAGCTTATATTCTGCGCTGAACTCAGTTTGAGGTTGAAGAATAAAGCCGTCTCCAGCTACTCTGCTGGTTTATAAAATGCTTGTGATCTCAAGTTCTAAGCAGACAGCATCCTAGTAAGACTTTGGCTTTGGACTAAAAAAGACAGGAACTGCTTATAAGAATCTGCTGGGGCCAGATTTTGCTTTCAGAAATGCTGATAAGTCCTTGAAAAAAGAAAGGGTTGCCATGATGACTTGGCTCTGGGCCTGCAAACTGTGGTGACGACATAGTCACCGAGGAGACCACGAGATACAGTGTCTGAAAAGCCGCTGAAGGGTTTTGTCCTGTCGTCTGGGATCTGATTGGCTTAGAAGGTGTTTGGATGGGACCAGAAAGCTGGAGCTTGCTGTCCTGAGACTTCTAGGACCTGGTGCTGAGTGCTTTGGAGATCACCTACCTCCTGGGGCCTTGGTTTAAAAAGGGGGAGATTTAGGGTAATTTCTAGGTTCTTGTGAGGTTTGACTCTGATGTCTGTGCTGCTGTAAAACAGGAAATGCGGAAGTGCCTTTAACATGTAGGGTGGTAATGAGCTGTGTCTACATATGGGTAGCTGCGCCGTTCAGATTGCAGTTACTGTGTTGAGTTTTTATGTAACGGGTACGTTCCCTCTTGGCTCCTTTGATCCTTAAAGGTGTGCATGAGGATTGAAGTGTGGAGGCCCATCTGCCTGTTGAGGTTGGACTCTGTGTGGTTCCGTTGGAAATGCTGTGAAGGAGCCACACCAGAGCTGCAGTAAGGCTAAGAAAGAGGTTTTGCGCACTTGAGCCAGCCACAAACCACTCTGGAGCGCAAGCTGTGGCCTGATACGTAAGCGTTGTGGATAGGGATATCTCGATCTTTTGGGGAACTCTGAAATCACTCAGTTTTGGAGTTAAATATAGCCTACAAAAGTGTAATATGTTCATACTGTTTTTGAAGATGTGTAAATGCAATATTTAGGTTTTGAATTTCTAACCATAACCATGTATATGTGGAGAATCAAAAGCAGCTGAACAGGAATTGAATGAACTAGGGGTCGATTTTTAAAGTTCTTTACTATGGTCACAGTTTTGGGCGTGTGGTTTTTTGGGGTCACTGGAATATTTAGAAATATTCTAAAATGTCATGTACAGAAGGCTGAGCTAAACAAGTCCTACTCATAGGTGAGGAGTAACTATTTGGAAGTGATGTGGATTATTTTGGGGGGCAGGAGTACGGGGCACTTGGATTAGTCAGCTCATGGCCCTCTTATCGTCACCTTCCAAATAGGATTGAACAGGAGTGGCTTCTGAGTCTTGCCCTGCAGCAGGAGGCCAGGAATAGACATGTGGGGGCAGCCTCCTCCTCAGGCCAGAGCATGAGCCATTTGACTTGATGGTTCCAACTTCCAGATCACTTGCATACTAGAGTCCTGAGCTTTCCAAACTCGGCCCATTAGCAACAATCCATGTTTTATAGTTGGTAAAACTGAGGATTGGTGAATAGTTAAGTCAGACATTGAAATCTCAGGGCTGGGGTCCAGAGTTGCTTATATTATTAATTTGTGGTGGAGGGATTATATTATACAATGGAAAACCTCAACATTTGTTACTTTCCTTAGAAAGTACCTAGTAGATTCAAAACAAAACCAATGTGCTGTTTGCTGACCCTGATGTTAACTCCTCAGTGTGAAGGAATCAGCATTAGGGCCGAACACCAGCCCGCCTTCCGCCAGCCCTTATCTGGGGCGAGTTACAGACACCTGTGGGCCTGGTTTTCTTTGCCTGCAACTGTGGTCTCTTAGCATTTGGGGGAAGGTCATAGACCCCTTGATGGAAGCCATGAACTGTCCCTGGGGAAAAATGTGTGCATGTACTTAGTTGTGTACATTTTCGGGGGATAAGCTCTGCAATCTAATGATATTTATGGACTGATTAAGCCTTGCTTCTTACCTGGAAAATAACTTTTGATGACCTGATTCTAATGGCAGGGGGGGTGTGTGTGTGTGATTGCACATGTGAAAAAGTAATTTTTCAGCTGTGCGAGGTGGCTAACGTCTGTAATCCCAGCACTTTGGCAGGTCGAGGTGGGTGGATCATAAGGTTGGGAGATCAAGACCACCCTGGTCAACATGGTGAAACCTCGTCTCTACTAAAAATACAAAAAATAACCGGGTGTGGTGGCGCGTGCCTGTAGTCTCAGCTACTAGGGAGGCTGAGGCAGGAGAATCACTAGAACTTGGGCGGCAGAGGTTGCAGTGAGCTGAAACTGCACCACTGAACTCCAACCTGATGACAGATTAAAACTCCCATCTCAAAAAAGTAATTTTCTTTTTGTCTGTCTGTCTGTCTCTTTCTTTTTTTTTTTTTTTTTTTTGAGAGGGTCTCAACTCTGATCCAGGCTGGAGTTCAGTGGCGTGATCGTGGCTCACTGCGGCCTCAACTTCCCAGGCTCAGGTGATTTTTCCCACTCAGCCTCCCAAGTAGTTGGGACTGCAGGTGAGCACCACCATGCCTGGCTAATTTTTACATTTTGTGTAGAGATGGGGTTTCGCCGTGTTGCCCAGGCTGGTCTCGAACTTCCCACCTCAGCCTCCCAGAGTGCTGGGATTACGGATGTGAGCCACCGTACTCTGCCAAAGTGATTTTCAGCCAGTGCTGGTTTGGATGTAGCAAAGCAGGCACTGACGCATTCTGGCGACCGCTTTTCTGGAAGGCTGTTTGGTGGTATGTGCTAGGATACTCTACAGTGTTCATACTGTGACTTAGCAGTTCTTCTCAGAAATCTCTCCTAAATAAGTCATTTCACAATATACAGGCTTTGTGCACCAAGCCAGTCGTCAGAGTGTTACACTAATATTCTGTGTCAGAAATGATCAGTAGAATTCATACGTGTACATTACACTTACATTTATGAATAGTTTTTAATAACGTAAGGAAATTATTGTAATGCATGAAAAAGTAGGACACGCACTGTGTTCTCAAATTACATCAACACTTTTGTTTGTTGATTTATTTATATATATTTGAGATGGAGTCTTGCTCTGTTGCCCAGGCTGGAGTGCAATGGTGCAATCTCATCTCATTGCAACCTTCACCTCCTGATTCAAGTGATTCTCTTGCCTCAGCCTCCTGTGTAAACACTTTCAAAAGAGAGTAGAAGGAATATATAAATGTTAACAGTTACTGCTCAAAGATCATAGGATTGTAGGGAAAACCTTATTTTTCTGTATTTTTCCTTGCTTACAGTAGACATTATTTCTAGAATTGGGGGGAAATGTCATTTTGGAAAATGTTTATTTTTTGTTTTTGAAACCAGTCACTCTGTTGCCCAGGCTGGAGTGGAGTGAAATGGCATGGCCATGGCTCATTACAACTTCCCAGGCTCAGGCAATCCTCCGACCTCAGCCCTCATAGTAGCTGGGACTATAGGCATGCACCACCATGCCTGGCAAATTTTTTTTTTTTATACATAGAGACAGGATCTTGCTGTGTTGCCCAGGCTGATTTGGAACTCCTGAGCTCAAGCAATCCGCCTTGGCCTCCCAAAATGCTGGGATTACAGGCATGAACCGCCACACCTGGTCTGATTTTGGAAAAATCAAAGAATCTGGAGATAGCTTGGTGATAGAGACCTGGATGGTTTGGGTTTCTATTTTTATGTCAGGTAAGAACTGGCTTTTTACTTGGATGACTCCTTTAGACTGGATTTCAGTACAGCCAAGGGGAGGACTGGTGTCTGGAGCTCGTGCTGGCGAGAAGGGCCACGCCGCAGCCCAGTGCTCTGCACCTCACGGAGTGCTCGTTGGCTTCCCATGAAAAACTGCTCCTGACTTCACTTTGTTGTGCCGCTTGCTGTGTTCTGCTCCTGTGGTAAGTCGTTTGTGTTCCTGTGCGCTGGAAGTTCTTCTACAGCGATGTGGGAAGAGACCTCAAAACCCCCAGCTTGGAGCCCACGGAGCCCCTCCTCCATCTGAGCCGCTGCGTGTGTGTCTTCCTTCTGTGCTGTCCCATACAGAACAGCCAGAGTCTCACTGGCCTGATGAGTCACATGGTGGTTTAGGACACATTTTGGATGTATGTCATTTGCATGTGACATTTTTCAGGTATTCTAATTTAAATAAAGATCCAGGACCTTTGATTTTAGTTCTAGCCTTAACTCTCTTCCAGGGGATGAATAAAAATTTTAGCCTAGGAATTAGAAGTCACTTCTGACCAGTTTTTCTCTTTAGAATTCACAGATGGATTCAGTGGAAAAGACAACAAACAGAAGTGAACAAAAATCCAGGTAATTAAAGGCGACTCTACCTTCCAGCAGCTTCACTGACGTCATCTAGCATCCGTTGTGAGTCTGCTTACCTGTTCTTTAGTACCTGCAAAGGCAAAAGTGCAATGAAAACACTGGGCATGAGGGGACCTCGAGGGCCGTTTACCAGTCTTTGCTTCAGTGTAGGAAACATTCCAGAAGGCAGCAACATGCAACTAGGGGGATCATGTCTCAAACTGGAAGGGCCGTGCTTCCCAGGAAATAATTCTTTGACTGCAGATGGAGCCGGCCGTGTGTGTTGTGAAGTGAAGCGCAGGAAAGAGGCCCTTCCTGTAGCAGGGTCAGGACTGGGGAAAACCGGCGTTTTGCCATCACTTAATCTTACCTGTCACTGTTAAGCAGGGGTCATTTTGTCATCGTGATGTGTCTTCATAAGCTGTGTGCAGCTGCAAAGGAAGGAAAATTGCTGAGCTTTTTGTTCACAAATATGTATCACTTCAACATGATCTTAACCCTGGGCAACTTAAGATGTGAGACATAGCTGTCCCACATCCTTTAAGGAATCAGGATAGAACATGTGAAATGAATACATGAAGAAGGGTACACAGGCGGTGTCCCTGATCTACACGTACAGCACGAGGCCTGCCTGACTCACTTTGTGTGTGCAGTTTCCTCCTGTAGTGCTAAGAGGGAGTGTGTGTACACACGTACAGCACGAGGCCTGCCTGACTCACTTTGTGTGTGCAGTTTCCTCCCGTAGTGCTAAGAGGGAGTGTGTGTGCACACGTACAGCACGAGGCCTGCCTGACTCACTTTGTGTGTGCATTGTTTCCTCCCGTAGTGCTAAGAGGGAGTGTGTGTGCACACGTACAGCACGAGGCCTGCCTGACTCACTTTGTGTGTGCATTGTTTCCTCCCGTAGTGCTAAGAGGGAGTGTGTGTGTGCACGTACAGCACGAGGCCTGCCTGACTCACTTTGTGTGTGCAGTTTCCTCCCGTAGTGCTAAGAGGGAGTGTGTGTGCACACGTACAGCACGAGGCCTGCCTGACTCACTTTGTGTGTGCATTGTTTCCTCCCGTAGTGCTAAGAGGGAGTGTGTGTGCACACACGTACAGCACGAGGCCTGCCTGACTCACTTTGTGTGTGCATTGTTTCCACTTTGACTTTCATTCTCTCTCTCCCTTGTTTTCAAGTAGAAAGTTTTTAAAAAGCCTCATCCGGAAGCAGCCCCAGGAACTGCTCTTGGTTATCGGGACTGGCGTCAGCGCAGCCGTGGCCCCAGGAATCCCTGCCCTTTGCTCATGGAGAAGCTGCATCGAGGCCGTCATCGAGGCTGCAGAGCAGCTGGAGGTGCTGCACCCCGGGGACATTGCTGAGTTCCGGAGGAAAGTGACCAAGGATCGGGACCTGTTGGTTGTTGCCCATGATCTGATCCGGAAGATGTCACCTGTAAGTGTCAGACAAGTACCTCTGGTTTCTTGGGGACAACTTGGTTCTGCACCAGGCGGGATGAGTTTGTGAACCTAATGGTAAACTCCTGCAGGCCTGTCTTGTGTTCAGTGCTTGGCAGAGTTGAGCTGTTGAGCCAGAACTCCTTGAGGCCATCGGAGAGTCATTTAAAATTGAGGGATTCCAGGCACAGTGCAGTGTGGGGCTCCTGAAGCAGCTCCTGTTGAATGGAGCCTGACCGTGGGAGACTGTCTCAGGGAGGTCGTCAGCTGCACTCAGTATGAACTTGGCGGTTTTGTATTCAGTGAAGGACTGGCCCTTAGGCATGTTTGGTTTAAGCAGGCCAGCCATATTTCTTCAGATGACACGTGCTTCCTAAGAGGTTCTAGCTTCTTTGTCTGCGGTGGAGATGATCTAGCTGAGAGGAGAAGCAGCTGGTGACGCAGGAGCTGTTCCTGAGCAGGGCCCGGTGCTGCAGGGTCTGGTGCAGGGCGAGGTATGCGGCAGGCCGCTGTGGTCCCAGGTCAGCCATGGCGTGTGGACAGAAGGGCAGGGATGCTGGATGGTGCGGCCCAGGCTCTTCGCAGTCATTGTCTTCCACTCTTGTATTTACTGAGGAGGCTCAGTCACCATCTGAGAGTCAGGACGGGAGGAGATGTTGGAGGTGTGAACACAGAGGAGAAAGCAGGAAAAAAGGTGAACTCATCACCAAGGAGAGTGGGAGAGTCGAGGCTAGCAGTGAAAGGGTACCGGAAACTGTGTGGCTTCATGTGAACACTTTCATCATTCCCACCCAGAGACCCACATGGGCAGCCCGGGGAGAAAATGGTGGTTGAGCAGGGCCCCTCTGTGCTGGCAGCAGAGCTGTGAGTACTGTGCTTGCTCAGGGAGTGGTGGGAGAGGGGACATGCAGGGAGGGAGGGAGGTTGGGGGCTTCAGGGCCGCCACCGAAGTCATACACACCACTCCTGTTTTGTCTCATCTGCCGGAGTTGCACACAGGGCTGCACCTAGCTTTGCCAGAGCTTGGGAGATGTTTTTAGTTAGGTGACTTTGCCTCACGTGGGTGTTCTACTGATGAGGGATGAGTCTCATCAGAGGCCAGGGGTTGGGAAAGTACGGCCCTGGGCCTGTGTTTGTTTCTGTATAGTCCGCGGCTGCTTTCATGCCTCAGGGAGAGGTGAGTCGTTGCATCAGAGACTTTATGGCCCACAAGGCCTGAAATATTTACTCTCTGGCCCTTATAGACAACATTTGCTGACCCCTGTCACAGGAAGAAGGGAGGGGTTGAAGAGAGGCCAGGAAAGGTAGTGGGGTCCTGGGCAGCATGGAGGGGCCCTTGTTGTTCATGTGGAGAGAGGCTGGCTAGAGTGAGAATCATTTGTCTTGAAAATGAGTGTTTGAGTTTCAAAAGCGAACCTCTTCTGTTCTCTTTTGCTTGTTTGTGAAAACCTCCATCAGGAAGTGTTGAAGCGAGGCCAGTCGACACAGCTGTATTGAGGGTTGGTTGCATCAGGAATTCCAGCAGTACCAGAGAAGGGCGAGGGGCTTGAAAGTATTTGGGGAGAGGGAGGTGTACAGACATTACAGACGCTAAGCCGCTTAATGGAGGAAGGCAGGACAGAGGGCAGCGAGTGACTGTGGTGAGTGGTAATAGGGTCGGTAACCCACAGGCCTCATTGGGCTTGAAGTTTCCCTGGGAACCAAGGTGCTAGAGAGGTGGGGAGCTGGGGGGGAGTGGTTGGACAGGGGAAGCTGGGCCAGAGGTTCTGGAAAGGATCCAGGTTCTGGGTAATGATGAGGTCTGGGGTGTGGCTGTATGTGTGTATGGCTGAGATGGGCCGGGACCATTGGGGGAGAGTGGTGGGAGGAATTTAGAGGCCATGATCCCAGGAAGGATCATCCAAGTGGACATGAGAGTCACCCCAAATGATGACAGAAGCACAGCTGGAGAGATTGCAGGGAGCCGGGAGCCAAGCCCCCAGCTTCATTGGTGCAGGGAGTGCAGAGGGACACTTAGAGCTCTCAGGTCTCAGGTAGGGGAGAAGCTGAGCACTCCCAGAAAAGGATGGAGCTGTGGGAGTTGGGTGACGGCAGATACCACCCACTGGGAGCAGCGGGGAGGATTTGGTGGGTGGGAGAGTCAGAAGAGCTGTGGGATGAGTGTGAACCCTTGAGTCTTGGGCAAACAGGCACAGAGGGCGAGGGGAGGGATTTTGATGCCCAGGTGCCAAGGCAGAGAGGGCGATGGTGAGGCTGGGAGCCGGGCAGAGGGGACACTATGTCCCCCCGGGCCCACCCCCGCCCTGCCTCTGTGTCCCCTCCCAGCAAAGCTCTGAGGCACGGCTATTGCATGTGCTGTCGCCAGTTCCTTTTTCTCTTGAAGCCATCCAGCCAGGTTTCAGCTCTCAAGGCCCCTTAGAGGCAGCTCCTGTCAAGGCCACTGGAGACCACTGGGGCTGCCTCCGGAGGCCAGGCCTGAGTCCTGACCCTCTTGCTTCTCTCAGAGTATCTGCAACGCTACTGGTCAGGTGTGCTGGCTCACGCCTGTAATCCCAGCACTGCCGGAGGCCGAGGCGGGCAGATCACTTGAGGGCAGGAGTTCAAGATGAGCCGAGGCAACGTAGGAACACCTTGTCTCTACAAAAAAATTTTAAAAATTTTAGGCTGGGTACAGTGGCTCACGCCTGTAATCCCAGTACTTTGGGAGGCTGAGGCAGGTGGATCACCTGAGGTCAGGAGTTTGAGAGCACCCAGGCCAATTTGGTGAAACTCCGTCTCTACTGAAAATACAAAAATTAGCTGCGTGTGGTGGTGCACACCTGTAATCCCAGCTACTTGGGAGGCTGAGGCAGGAGAATTGCTTGAACCCAGGTGGGGAGGTTACAGTGAGCCGAGATCATGCCACGACACTCCATCCTGGGCGACAGAGCCAGACTCTGTCTCAAAAAAAACCTTTTTTAAAAGTTAGCTAGGTGTTAACGGTGTGCACCTGTAGTCCCAGCTACTTGGGAGGCTGAGGTGGGAGGATCACTTGAGCCTGGGAGGTCAAGACTGCAGTGGGCCATGACTGTGCCACTCACTGCACTCCACCCTGGGTGACAGAGTGAGACTGGCTCAAAAAAAATATATATATATAAAATTTAAAAATTAAAAAATAAATTTTTAAGGAAAGAAAATGAGCTGGGTGTGGTAGTGGCACCTGTAGTCCCAGCTACTTGGGAGGCTGAGGTGGGAAGCTCGCTGGCGCCCAGGACTTGGAGGCTGCAGTGAACTATCCTGGCACCACTGTGCTCCAGCCTGAGCGGCAAAGCATGACCCTATCTCAGAAAAAAAGAAAAACACTGCCTCCTGCTTCATTGAAGGTGCCATCAAGACACAGAGTTTCGTACACCACCAAGAAAGAGAAAGCTGGACTCTGCAGCTCTCAGGAAAAGCCAGAGTCTTTACTGTGGTCTTAAAGGCCCAGGTCATCAGGTTCTGCTGCTGACACTTCCCCTCACTCCTCTCCTGCCTCGGTGGCCTCTGGCTGGCCTTGGGCATACCTGAGCCGTGACCTCCGTGCTGTGGCCCTTGCTTTTCCCTCTGCTTAGAACATTCTCCAGGAGGCCTCAACTCCTCAGGCCTCTGCTCAGCCTTCGCCTTCTCAGAGAGGCTTCCCTGGTGCCCTGGTCCTGTCCACCCTCACCCCACAGCGCCTGCCCGTTTCTGCTGTGCTTTCCCATGGCAGCGTCACTGGTGGCGTGCTATACATGTGTGCATTGCCTTTCCCCTGGTCTGGAGTTGTAATGCATTCTGTGAAGCCTCCTTTTTGTTTCCAGCTGCTGTGTCTCTGGCACCCAGAACACAGCCTGCTTACCTGCTGAGCAGTTGTTGAGGCTGATGTTTCTGTAACTCTCATTCCACCTTTCCGTAGCGCACAGGCGACACCAAGCCCAGCTTCTTCCAGGACTGCCTGATGGAGGTGTTTGACAACCTGGAGCAGCACATCCAGAGCCCTCTGGTGCTGCAGTCGATCCTCAGCCTGATGGAGAGGGGCACCATGGTCCTGACCACCAACTACGACAACCTGCTGGAGATCTTTGGCCAGCAACAGAACAAGCCCATGGAGTCTCTGGACTTGAAGGACAAGACCAAGGTATGGGCTGGGGGCACGGGTGGGCTGTGAGTGTGTGGAAGCACCTTTCACTTTATCGCAGTGTGAATTAATACTAGAGGATCCAGGTGTGGTGGCGTCTGCCTGCAGTCCTAGCTACTGGGGAGGCCGAGGTTGGGAGGATTGCTTGAGCCCAGGAGTTCCAGGCTGAAATGAGCTATGATCATGCCATTGTATTCCAGCCAGCCTGGGTGACAGAGAGACCCTTTATCCTAAAAAAAAAAAAAAGTAATAATGGAAGGTGGCACACTGGCAGCCTCTGGAATACTGTGCTCCATAGGAAAACAAGATACTAGGACTTAAAAGTCTGAGCTGGCCTCTCCCCAGGGCAGGTGGGAAATGATGGGGCAGTGTTCTGTGCATCCCAAGACTTCATATTTCCTGCTTTTATTTTTTATTTTCAGAGATAGGGTCTTGCTGTGTTGCTCAGACTGGAGTGCAGCGGCACAATCGTAGCTCATAGCGTAATTTAGGCCATTCTTATACTGCTGTATAAGAAAGAGCTGAGGTGGGCCGTGGTTGCTCAGGCCTGTAATCCCAGCACTTTGTGAGGCTAAGGTGGGTGGATCCCTTCAGTCCAAGAGGTCAACGCCAGCCTGGCCAACATGGCAAAACCCCGTCTTTACTAAAAATACAAAAATTAGCTGGGCATGGTGGTGCACGCCTATAATCCCAGCTACCTGGGAGGCTGAGGCAGGAGAATTGCTTGAACTGGGAGGTGGAGATTGCAGTGAGCCGAGATCACTGCACACCAGGGTGGGCAACAGGGCGAGGCTGTGTCTCACAAAGCAAAAGAAAAAAATACCTGAGACAGGGTAATATATAAAGAAAGGAGCTTTAATTGGCTCCGCATTCCACAGGCTGTATAGGAAGCATAGCAGCATCTGCTTCAGGGAGGCCTCAGGAAGTTTCCAGCAGTGGCAGAAGGCAAAGTGGGAGTAGGCGTGTCACATGGCCACAGCGGGTGGTGGCAGGGAGGTGGCACACACCTTTAAATGATCGGATCTCTCAAGAAGTCACTATCACGAAAATGGCACTAAGCCGTGGGGGGTGATCCGGCCCCGTGGTCCAAGCACCTCCTCCAGGCCACGCCTCCAGCACTGGGGATTACAATTCAGCATGAAATCCGGGTAAGGTGAATGTCCAAATTCTGTCAGTTATAACACCACAAAGTCCTTAGACTTTTATGTCCCTCTGTTTTCAAGATCAATTCCTAGAAGAGTTTTGTGGTCAAAAGCTATGAGTATTTTAAAGACTGATGATGTAAATTACCAAATTGTTTTCCAGAAAGTACCAGCTGCCTTCCCAGTGGCTGTGTACGGGAGTACCCATTTCCTGTATCTAGCCAACACGTGGTGTTATTAAAAACAAAATGAAATAAACTTTGTCCATTTGATAGGTGAAGAGTTTAAACATTGATTTCTTGTATTAAGGTTGAGCATAGTTTCGTTGTGACCATTTCTTTTGTGATGTGCTTGGGACCTTTGTGCATGTGCTTATGTTGTCTGGGCTGACTTGTGAGAGAAGGCCCTGGCCCTGCTCTGGACAAAGAAACTGAGTTACGCAGAGATGTCGTCTCAGCGTCAGTGCAGGGGCTGGGCTCAGCTGCAGCCCCGGTCCCCTTGTGCCCGGTGCGGTGCCCTCCCGGGACGGGCATCCACTCCTGCCAGCAGTGCCTTGGGGCAGACACCTGCGCTCTGTGTCTGAGCCACACGGTCCCCTCTGCTGAGGCTTGTTGTGGTCAGTGTCTGGAAATGAATGGCCGGTTGCATAAACAGAACTGCCAGCTGGCTCAGCGCCCAGTGATGGCAGCGGGGCTGTTGGTGTTTGTGTCCATTCTGCCTGCTGCTGTGTGGGCCATGGAGTGAAGATGACTGGGCATTGACCTGCTGGGCATCTTTATATTGAACGGAAAGGAACATGCTTAGCCATTCAATAAATACTTTTCTCCATATATATGTGTGTGGGTATGAGTGTGTGTGTGTGTGTGAGATATATTTATTTATTTGTGGCACAGATATTTTCTGGGTGTTTAGGAGTAATATAGAAATAGCAGTAATTAAAATATGTAACTTAGAAGTGAAAATCCCTATAATGCACCTAAAGTAATCACTTTTAACAGTTTTCTGTAATCTCAGGTGTTAAGATATTTTCTGTGTAATTGTCTGTCTTTAAATAAGTTCTTTTTTTTTTTTTTTCCCTGACGTGGAGGTCTCACATTGTTGCCCAGGCTGGTCTCGAACTCCTGAGCTCAAGTGATGCTCCTGCCTTGGCCTCCTGAGTAGCTGGGATGATAGGCATGAGCTACCGTGCCCAGCCGAAGAAGCTCTTTTGCTGTCATGGGCCCAGCATGACTGATGCTGACAGCCGATCCTCTCTCATGTTTTAAATGTGTCATTATACTGTCATAGGACGGGAATAACTAGTGCTCACAGCTAGGTTTCTCTTGTTTTGAAGGTGTAATGTTAAAGTGAAGCATCTCTCTGAGTCTTTCCAAGATAGGTTTAAAAACTATGAATAGAATGTCAATATCTTCTATCTGTTTGCAATAGTTTAAGGATTTTTCCTTTGTCTTGATTTTTGACAGGTCCTCCAGTGGGCGAGAGGACATATCAAGTACGGCGTTCTTCACATTCACGGTCTCTACACAGACCCCTGTGGGATGGTGTTGGATCCCTCGGGATATAAAGATGTCACTCAGGACCCGGAAGTCATGGTACGGTCTGTCCTAATTAGCACCGGTGCATCCTGTGGGGAATTTGTGGTGACCCCTGGCCATTTGGCTGCAGTCACAGTGGTATCCCAGGCTCCAGGCCACCGTGTCCTTCAGGTCGGTCCTTCACACAGTTGCTGAGGGAGGGGCCGCATCTCTTGTTCTCCTTTGTGTCTCTGGGCCCTGAGTGGTGCCTCCATGTTGAATAGATGCTCAGTGAACATTTGTTGGAGGAAGGAATCTGATTCTTTTAAAAGCATAGATCTGACCTTACCCTCTCCAAGAGCCCCAGCCATTCTGTGGTTCTCACCTCACCAGGTATACGGTGAAACTTCTCAGCATGACACAGGGCCCTGTGCAGTCTAGAATGTTCTCCAGTTTTCTTCCATGCATCTTCTGGTCTCAAATGCTCCACTCTCCTTCCTGTACTTTTATTTTTATTTAATTTATTAATGTATTTATTTATTTATTGAGTTGGAGTATTGCTCTGTTGCCCAGGCTGGAGTACACTGGTGTGATCTGGGCTCACTACAGCCTCCACCTCCCGGATTCAAGTGATTCTCCTCCTTCAGCCTCCTGAGTAGCTGGGATTATAGGCATGCGCTACTATGCCTGGCTAATTTTTATATTTTTCAGTAGATAACAGGGTTTCACCATGTTGGTCAGGCTGGTCTTGAACTCCTGACCTTGTGATCCACCCGCTTTGGCCTCCCAAAGTGCTGAGATTACAGGCATGAGCCACTGTGCCCAGGTCCTTCCTGTAGTTTTAAAGCTTCATTCTTGGCCTGGCATAGTGGCCCATCCCTGTAATCCCAGCGCTTTGGGAGGATCACTGGAGTCCAGGAGGGAGAGGCTGCAGTGAGCTGGGATCGCACTACAGCCTGGGCAACACAGTGCTACCTCATTTCTAAAAAAATAAAAGTAAATAAAACTTCATTCTTTGTAAGGCTTTTTTTTTTCTTCTTAAATAGACAGGGTCTTGCTCTGTGGCCCAGGCTGAATTTCAGTGGCATGGTCAAAGCTTACTGCAGCCTTGAACTTCTGGGCCCAAGGATCCTTCTGCCTTAGTCTCCCAAGTACCTGGGACTGCAAGTGTGCACCCCCACTCCCAGCTGTGAGGCCTTCTTTTTTTTTTTTGAGATGGAGTTTCGCTCTTGTTACCCAGGCTGGAGTGCAATGACGCGATCTCGGCTCACCGCAACCTCCGCCTCCTGGGTTCAGGCAATTCTCCTGCCTCAGCCTCCCGAGTAGCTGGTATTACAGGCTCACGCCACCATGCCCAGCTAATTTTTGTATTTTTAGTAGAGAAGGGGTTTCACCTTGTTGACCAGGATGGTCTCGATCTCTTGACCTCGTGATCCACCCGCCTCGGCCTCCCACAGTGCTGGGATTACAGGCATGAGCCACCGCGCCCGGCCGTGAGGCCTTCTTGATGCCGTAGACACAGTGAAGTGTGGACAGCGTGCTTCTGTTAAGCACTGAGAAACTTGGCGTCTTTGTGGATTTCCCCAGGAGCACACGACCAGGTGTTCTGTTCCTCAGGATTCCTGCCTGGGCCTGTGTCATGCTGTGGCAGGTGTCAGTACGATGAGTGATTGGGCAGATGCTTTTCATTGCATAATTAATACCACTTGGTTATAAGAAATACGTGTGCTGAAATTGAGTCTCTCTGAGATACCTGGTTAGCTGAATTGGTGAGTCTCTCCTGCCTGCCCGAGTGACCCTACACAATCTGCTTTCCCTGTGCCCATCCCACCTCCTCAGTCCCTGTCACTGATCCCCTCCCCAGCTCTCCTGCCCTCATTCGCAAAACCCTCTCCTGTTGACCACCCTCCCAGCCCCTGCAGGAATTCCCACTGCATAGGACCCATTGAGGTAGACATTAGTTTTAGGGTGTTGCATGTGCATGATTCTGAATGGAAAACATTCACCATTTTATGTTTTAGTCATTTAAAGTTGTACCTAATTTGAGAAAATTTGAATTGGGTGACTGCCCTGGCGAGTGGGCGGGGTGGGTGATGGATTGGCCTGGCTGCAAGGGGCGTGCGCACTGCCACCCACCTCGGCCAAAGGCCAGTTACCCAGCTCAGGTGGGGAGAGGCAGGCTCAGCCCAGCTTTGGTCTTTGCCACCACAGGCTGCTGCTGTGGGGTGACCTGAGTGCCATGTTGGGAGAAGATCCTGTCCTTCCCTGTTCCTCAATGTGGCCCTGGGAATAGCCTGTCAGGGGGCAGTGATTTAAAAGCACACGCATGTGGCTTGGTTAGTCGTAAGCTCTTGCTGTCTTTCAGATGAGCACCTGATTTCCTCATTGGCTTTTTCTAGGAAGTCCTTCAGAACTTATACCGTACCAAGTCTTTTCTGTTTGTGGGCTGTGGAGAGACCCTTCGTGATCAGATATTCCAGGCCCTCTTTCTTTACTCTGTGCCGAATAAGGTGGATTTGGAGCACTACATGCTTGTGCTGAAGGAAAATGAAGACCATTTCTTTAAGCATCAGGCAGATATGCTTTTGCATGGAATCAAAGTTGTATCCTACGGGGACTGTTTTGACTGTTTTCCAGGATATGTGCAAGACCTTGCCGCTCAGATCTGCAGACAGCGAAGCCCAGGTATACATTCTGTCTTCACTTGTGTCTTTTTTTCTCGAGACTGCGTCTCGCTCTGTTGCCCAGGCTGGGGTGCAATAGCATGATCTTGGCTCACTGCAACCTCTGCTTCCTGGGTTCAAGCGATTCTTCTGCCTCAGCCTTCCAAGTAGCTGGGATTACAGGCATGTGCCACCATGCCCGACTAATGTTGTATTTTTAGTAGCGACTGTGTTTCCCATATTGGCCAGGCTGGTCTTGAACTCCTGATCTCAGGTGATCCACCCGCTTCAGCCTCCCAAAGTGCTGGGATGACAGGTGTGAGCTCCTGCACCCGGCCTGTCTTCACTTTTCAAGTACAAAACTCATAGGGCTCTTTTAGTTGTTTCTCTCTCTTTTTGATGTAATTCACGTACCCATAAAATTCACCAAGCTTTCAGTTATTATTTTTTCAAACTGCCTCTGTAATTTAAAATTAGAAGATTTAAGTGACCGGTGTCCTAGTGACAAGTCTGTAACTGACTAAACTTTAACACCAGGCTGGGCTTGGTGGCTCACGCTTGTAATCCCACCATTTTGGAAGGCTGGGGCAGGAGGATTGCTTGAGCTCAGGAGTTTAAGACCAGCCTGGGCAAGGAGACCTGGTCTCTATAAAAAACATTTTTTTTTTTTTTAATTAGCTGGGTGTGGTGGTGCACATCTGTGATCCCAGCTACTTGAGAGGCTCAGGTGGGAGGATTGCTTGAGCCCAGGCATTCCAGGCTACAGCAAGCTGTGATCAGCCACTGCATTCCAGCCTGGGCATTGGAGCAAGACCCTGTCTCTAAAAATAAAACATAAAGTAACTTAGAAGTTTACAGCTGTGCACACATGTGTACCTGGACACATTTATTCATGTTTCAGGTTTCCTTAACCAAGAAAGGAAACTACCAGGCCAGCTTTATCAGTTGTGCTACTTAACACTTGAAAGAGGCAGATATCTCATGTTTGTGTCCTGTCACTGCAGTTGAAAAGTTCAAACTTCAGAAGCACAAAAGGATTTCATGAAGACTTGACTTCTTTTTTCAAGGAACATATTTTTCCTATTCTGAATGCAGCACCTCTTTTAAGTAATGCTCCTTGGCCCTTGTTTTGAGAAACTGCTCGTCTGTCAGGAATGACCAAGATAATTGAGAAATTCTTAAACTTGGTCATGTTGACATAAGGGAATTGATGGCTGTGAGTTTGGCATCATAAAACATTGATGACGGCAAGCTTGGAAAGGCCTGTGCTGGCTCCTTTTTAATTGTAACTGAAAGCCCAGGCACTCACCACACACCGGAACCAGGTTAGCCACAGAGGCAGGTGTATGTGACCAGCTATGAACTTGGAGACTGGAGAGTGCACAGATAATCCAAAAGCTAAGGTTTTTGTTGTTTTTTTTTTTAAACCACTATCATTTCTTCTCAGAATTGCTTATTAGCAAAATGAACCAAAGCAAGTTCCGTTTCCATGAATGAAAGTGTAGTGAGGGCAACAGTATCTTATTAAGGGCAGAAGAGGGAGCTCATGTGTGCCGAGGTGTTGCCGTCCACTAGGAGTTCCACGTTCTTGACCTTAGTTAGTCTTTAGCGGCAGCATGCAGTGCTAGTAGCTAGATTTCGTAGACAAGACAGGCTGAGCTGGCACAGGCTCATAACGTGCGCAGTTAGTGCCCCGACATTCTGAAGCTGGGGATGGGATCCTAGGCTGACTGCAGAGCAGAATACACCATTCAGTACATCCTGGCACCAGCCCACATGCGTGGCTCTGCAGAGGCAGGCAGCAGGCTTTCCTCATCTCTGCCCCTGTCCGCTGCCCCTTCCGCCCCCACACTCCCCGGAGTACCGGACCCAGTGGCAGCCCACATGTGCTTGGGCTCCTGGAGGAGCTGAGCAGCTTCCGTCATGCCAAAGCTCCCTTTCCAGGTCGTGGCAGCCAAGTGGATTCAACCAGCTGCCAGAAGACTGCAAGGTCATTGGGAGTTTTAATCTGTGACTGTGTCATGAAGGACATTTGTACGAATTCGTGGAGTGCCACTCCTGATGGAGGAGGAGGCCCACTGATAGTGATAGTGATGCTAGTGACCACGGACACCATGCCGTGCTCTCTGTGCCACCTGGCTCCTTCAGTGAGTCCTCATGCGAAGCCTGGGAGGTGGAGAAGAAAGGGCAGCCAGTAGCGCAGGAGCCCACAGCGCACGCGGGCTGAGCTTCCCAGAGGCCTGTCCCCAGTCACTGCCTCAGAGTGGCCTGAGGAGGACGAGCTTTGGCGTTTCGGCTCCACTGACTGCTTTTCTTTCTCCTTCAGATGCTGATCGAGTGGACAGCACCACATTATTGGGTAAAGCAGATCTTTCTTCTTGCCAGCCTGTGTTTTGCCTACACATTCCATTGTCTCCTGTCACAAACTGTAAAATCATAAATGTTTGTTTTTCACATTAACTGATTAGCCTGTATTAAGACAGCCCCGCTGAAGGTGATAAACAGGCCTGCCTTAGCGTGGCCCCGACCACACCAAGAGACTAAAAGCCCTCCCTTTGAGGAGGGGCACAGCCGAATCACACGTGGGCCAGCTGGCACCTGAGAATAATTTCTTGCCCCAGAACCAAGAGTGACAGGGGATTGGAACAGGCTGTTTGTGTGGTACCTTGTGGTGCAAGATGCAGTGCCTTCGAGTGACCAGCTCCTGAGAAATTCGCATTGCAGGGTCTGAGCTTTCACACACAAGCTCTGGGTTTCAGACTCGTTTGAAATGTGAACACTTTTCTTGCTGGGCTCAATTCTGCCTGTTGATAAATTAACAAGACTCAGTGGCTGTGTGTGAAGCCCTCCTGTGTGTGAAGTGGGCACCAGGTGTTTTTCCTCTTGCTGAGTCATTTGGGTAAAAGGGGCCCTTGTCGGTGGTGCGGAGGCCCGTTTTCCCAGCGCGTTCACAGATGAGAAAATGCGCATCGGTGTGGGAGCCACTGGCATCGCATCCGTTAGTGGTGCAGGAAGTATAAAACCAGCGGTCAGCTTCCCGTTTCCTCCCATTCCCGTGGGAAAGGACGTCTTTATTACAGTTGCTTTCTTAAATGCGACTCTTGGAACCATCGTTTTCTTTTGAAAGCAGCAGTAATGTGGCAGAGATCATCGGTAGCGTGGGGTAACGTGGATTTGGCCAGTGTTTCAGGAAGGTCACATTCACAAACTGTGCCTTGGCGGGTAGGTTCTAAATGAACAAGCTTCTTACGACGTTTTCCTCTTTCAGGTAATACGTGCCAGGACTGTGCAAAGAGGAAGTCGGAGGAGAATGGGATTGAAGTTTCAAAAAAGCTCAGACAACCAGATGCTGGTATCGTGTCTGTTCTTCTTGTGGGAGCTGCCTCAGGTCTGGCTTGTTGGCAGGCGTCTTCAGGGGCAGTGCCACACTCTCGCCCCAGGCCCGGGTGGGAGGTGCATACATTCTGTCAGGGCCACAGGGCACAGGAGGCTTGGTAGAGAACCTGACTTCTCACCCCAACCCCATTCCAACTCCCCAGAGGGGGAAATGTCTGTCGGTTTAGGTGAGCATGTTATGAAAGTGGGGCGGGCAAAGTGAACTCTCCCATCCAATCACACCCGGTTCTGGAAGCAGCAATGCCACTACCCCGTTTGCCACTCCCCAGCCTCCCCCAGCCCCAAGGGTGACCACTAGGCTGATTCATGCCACCTGAGTCTCTGGAGAAAGCCACTTTAAATCATTTGAGTTTTGTTGCCTCTGTGACAGGCTAAGATTTAAGTGATTGAACTATTTATCTAAACAGTGTGTGTGAATAGGCCTCTCTGTTGAGCTGGGAAGGGCTGTCTCGCTGGCTGGTGCCAGCCCCTCCCTCTCCGCCCCTTCGCCGCCGCCTCCTGCCAGCTGTGGATAGTGCTGTGTGTTCCTTCTCATTCTTTAAGTAACATACTTAAGCCACACTTCCCAACATGAAGCTTGAGCTGGATGGGCCCCGCTTCTGTGTCCTGCCCCAGAACCAGCCAGCATCCCCGTTGTGCCCGTCTCTGTGGTGTCAGGACAGAAAGGAAATGAGACCCCCAGGCTGTCTGTAGTTTGATTGTAAACCTTGGAAAACAAAGGCATTGACTTGGTTAAAACACTGTCAGTGTTCGTTCCTGCCTAGCCACCTTGTGGTGTTCGTGGGCCCAGTGCCACCGCGCCTGTGCCAGTGGCAGGACGTGTTCTCAGTGTCAGCATCGAATGTGGCTTGTTCCTTACATTCCATTCTCGTATTTCTTACTGTTTCATATTGCGGCCTTAGGACGTGTGTTACTTTTTTGTTTGTTTGTTTTTCAGACAGTTTCACTCATTACCCAGGCTGGAGTGCAATGGCGCGATCTCGGCTCACCGCAACCTCCGCCTCCTGGGTTCAAGCAATTCTCCTGCCTCAGCTTCCCGAGTAGCTGGGATTACAGGCACGCGCCACCATGCCCAGCTAATTTTTTTTGTATTTTTAGTAGAGACGGGGTTTCACCATGTTGACCAGGATGGTCTCGATCTCTTGACCTTGAGATCCACCCGCCTCGGCCTCCCAAAGTGCTGGGATTACAGGCGTGAGCTACCGCGCCCGGCAACTTCTTATTTTTTGAGGAGTTCTTAGGTTCTTCTTTCCCCTTTGTTTTTCAGAAAACATTTCCCAATATTCTTAAATGTATGCATTCCCTTAGCTTTCAGAACTGAGTAAGAAAAGTTTTAAAAAATGTTTCCATTCTCTTCATCCTGCCAGTGCATCTCCCAGGACACCTCCTCCTGGTAGGCTACTGCGGGACTGTCACGTGCCTGCCTCCCGAGCTTCCCTGCTGCTTTGAGATGGAGGCCCAGGTCTCCCTTGTTCTTGCCCTCCCTTCTCCCAGTCCATCCTGGTAGTACCTCCTGAAGCCGCTTCTGCAGACCCAGGTGTGGGGTCGCCCCTTGAGTACCGCGTGTCTGCAGGTGTCTGTGCTGTCCTTGTGCCCGTCGGTGGTTTTGGCTTGGGATTCTTGGGTATGATTTTCCCGGACTCCACTGTCTGAAGACCAGGTTTCCTGTGAGAGGGTCTGATGGGAACCTGGTTCCCGGTGGTTTGAAGATGCCTGTTGCTTTTTTCCCTGGGAGTTTTTAGGATCTTCTTTTCCCTTGATGTTTAGATACGCAGTGAGGATGAGTTGAGGTGGAAATGTTTTCACCTGCCTTACCCAGGTCTTCTCTTTCTTACTCCATTTCTCCTGAAATAGTCTGATTCTCTCCTTTCTCTCCATCTTCTCTTTTCTCCCTTTCTGGATGTCACACTCGTGGGATCTCCTGCATTGATTCCCACTGTCTTGTGAACTTTCTCTGATGTCTCTTAATATTCATTTTTTCATACTTCCCGGGGATTCTCAAATGACGCTCTAGTCCTCGGGTTAAATCTCTCCTTTGCCCGTGATCTTGCGTCTGAGAGCTCTTCTTTTCTCAGTTACCCTCTCTCAGCATCTGCTTTCTTTGGCTGTGAGAACTCTCGAGACAGAAGTTAACCTGCTTATCTGATCCTGCTACATTCCTGAAAACGTTGGCAGAGAGGATTTTCATACAGTAGGAGTTTATAGTTTATTATGTAAGTGAAACACTCTTAAATACCTCTGTAGCAGGCCACCAGAAATTCCTGAGCGCTGTGAAGCGTCCAGCTCAGTCAGTTACCTCTTCATTGAACGTTGAAACCCCTCAGTGGGAGTATTGGAGCATGTTGTGTCCCTGCATGCCCTTCAGCACCACAGGGACCGTGTGCAACAGTACGTGTTATAAAGATTCATAGTGAATGCAAACTTAGTTGAATAAAATAAGGCAGTTCTAAAAGGGCCACTTGCAGAGTGAATCACCGCGTCCTGCCGTCCAGGGGCAGGGAAGGTGAGTGAGCTGGTGTGGTGGTCCTTGTGGAAGAGCCGTGAGGGGCAGCTGTCACAGACATGGCATCCTCTCATTTAGTTTTATACAACTTCGCTCAGGCACGGTGGCTTATGCCTGTAACCCCAGCACTTTGGGAGGCCAAGGCAGGTGGATCACCTGAGGTCAGGAGTTTGAGACCAGCCTGGCCAATGTGGTGAAACCCCATCTCTACTCAAAATACAAAAATTGCCAGGCATGATAGCACACGCCTGTAGTCCCAGCTGCTTGGGAGACTGAGGAAGGGGCGTCCCTTGAACCAGGGAGGCAGAGGTTGCAGTGAGCTGAGATCACACCACTGTACTCTCCAGCCTGGGTGACAGTGAGACTCCATGTAAAAAAAAATAATAGTTTTATACAACTTCAAGTGCACTTAGGGGCACACACGTTTTAGAGAATTCAATTTTGATAGTGTTTTGGATCAATTGTTTGAAATCTTTTTGCAAATATTTGGATTGTGAGTTCAGCTACTAGAACCATCTATAACTAAGTAAAAACGAAACGCAAAGCTGGCGCTCTGTGAATTGTCCCCTCCGGGGTGGGTGGTTCTTTGCCCCTGCTATCTTTCATGCCCCTTGTTTTATCTTCTGCTTGTCTGGGCTTCTCCGGTGCCTGCTGACAAGAACGAAGGCCCAGGCGATTTTCCTCAGTGGCTTGGCTTTCTTCGGCTGTTGTGTGTACGTAGATTTTGTCCCCCCGTGGCCTACCTCTTGCTGGTGTGCACATCGGGTGCAGGGCCCACCACCTGGTAGACTTTGCTACAGAGCACAGGGCAGGTGCTGTCTTCGGTGCCTGTGAGATCTGTGCTCCTGGACGCCATCACTTGCACCCGCAGCCCCAGCTCTCCCCAGGCAGTCATGCCTCCTTAGGGCGAAGCCCCTGGCCTGTGTTGTACAGAAAGCCCTGGCCTGTCCTGCACGTGAGAGAGAGAAGCCAAGCCTCGAGAGCCCAGAGGAATCGACAGCTCATTCTTCGGATTTCAACAGGCTCTCACTGTATGATTGTTGAAATTGCCCCGTCTTCAGTCCACTAAGAAGGAAAAGGGCATCCATGTTCAAGGATTGAAATTCCCACAGACATTTGCCAACGTCATGTCATCACTTACTTGATTCCGATAGTATTGAGGCCATTTCCAGATAGCGGCTGCTGTTTCCATTTTAGAGGGGTTTTCAGTCTTCAGCACATAAGAACAATTGTAAACAGTTTCTGAAATAGAAATCTCTAAGTAACTTTTCTTAGCTGGACTTTAACCCTTTGGAATTGTGTTCTTTTATTTAAACAGATGATGCTGGAGGGTCTTGAAATACTTAAAACCAGTACAACTTGCAACTTGAAAGCCAGCCTTCTGTAACCACAGTGCCATGCCCAAACCACGAGGAATGTACGGAGAACTCCACGTGGATCTCTGATTGCCAAACAGTCACACACACCAAGAGAGCCACATGGGTGTGTGGCCCTCAGGGCTGGGTGAGAGGGCTCCCCTGTGTGTTGAACCGTGGAGGAGGTGACTCGGGCACACTTCAGGTGGACTTTGCGAGGACTGATGGATGGCCACCTCGGGCCAGAATCAGTGGGCAGGGGTGGAAACCAGTGTTCCTGTTCCCATCTGACAGGCTCACTTTTGTCAAGGTGGTACTTTTTCCTAATAAAAGGGGAGAGTAAAGACTGTCCAAAGAGAAAATAAGAAATAGACATGTGTGTGTGTGTGTGTGTGTGTGTGTATATATATATATATATATATATATTTTTTTTTTTTTTTTTTTAGACGGAGTCTTGCTCTTTGGCCCAGGCTGGGGTGCAGTGGCGTGATCTTGGCTCACTGCAACTTCACCTCCTGGGCTCAAGTGATTCTCCTGAGTAGCTGGGATTACAGGTGTCTGCCACCACGCCTGGCTACTTTTTGTATTTTTAGTAGAGACAGAGTTTCACCATGTTGGCCAGGCTGGTCTTGAACTTGACCTCAGATGATCTGCCCGCCTCAGCGTCCCAAAGTGCTGGGATTATAGGCGTGAGCCACCGCGCTGGTGAAATAGACATGTTTTATAATTTCTATGTGGAAACATGTTTCTATAGAAAACATTTTAAAGGTATGTTTGTTCCACTGTTAAGCAGTAAAGAATGAATCCACTCGTGAAAATGGTATGTTTTTAGAAAGAACACCTGGATCAAAAGGGCTTCTTTGGAATTAGGTCGTTTTAGTAACTTATGTTCCAAAGAAACACAGGTCTGATGTGGCTAAAAACTGTGAAATCGGAAGAGCTGGAGGCCCTTTTCAGAAGTTCAGGCCAGCACTGTGCAGGGCCACTGCGCGACTGACAACCAGGACAGCACGAGTGACGCCCGAGACCAGGTTTCAAACATTGTAAATTCTAAGCTTTGCAGGTCTTTATTCTCTGGGGTAAGATCCCGTCTTTCTGTTTTTGGTTCTTAAAATTCTCTTCCATGGTCCATGTTAAGGGGGTTTGCACAGAGTGAGGGAGCCTGCAACACTTAAAACCTTTTCAGGGTTCACTCACATGAAACAGCTGTGCTGGGCACTCTGCTGGTGCCCAGGGAACTTCCCTGACTGACCTGGCAGAGCTTCCGTGGCGATGCATGAGTGGCACTCAAGTGGAGGGTTCTCTTTGGAAACAAGCAACCCTGCTTGGTTTCAGTTTGAGGCCACTTCAATGTGGCATTTCTTACCAAGCCCTGTGACACTCCCCATTGATGACTCCCACAGGTACAGAGGAAGTTAAGAACAGGAGACAGAAGGATAGGATGCATAGGAAGGGACAGAGCCCAGAGACCTGCCGAAGACTTTTTTCTTTTTGATGCATGGAAAATATATTTTATGCCACTCCAGCCATAAATAAAATGGTAACTTCAACCCTGTGTGCTGTGTTTCAGTTACGCCAAGGCTTGCTAGAATGTATTTAATGAGAATTTTTAGCTCCAGTTGCCACCCAACTGTGAAATCAATTTAATGTTTACTTGAATATGTTTAAATGTTTCAAACAGGAAACAAATTCTTATTTTTTTTGCAATCAGGGAATATCTGAATCTGAGAGCTGGCCAGACACAGGATATAACAGAATTACAAGCAGAGAGGGTGCTGTGCACTAGGATGGAAGGCTTGTTACAGCCCATTTTAAGAACAGCTTTGCATGCTCTGCTGGAGGATGCAGCCATGTTGCTGTACCACATGGATACATCTATAGTTCTGTTGTATGCTCCTTACAGAATGTAAGTTGATTCCAGTGCAATTGATAGGTTAGAGGCAACTCCAATAAGGCACTTGTGTATAGTTGAGTCAGTGAGAAACATCACATCAGGAGATGACAAAGTTAGCCCTGCTGTTTACCCCTCAAGCTAGAAGAGCCAAGTACATTTTAAAATGGTTACATTTTAAGGCAGGGCGTGGTAGCTCATACCTGTCATCCCAGCACTTTGGGAGGCTGATGTGTGTGGATTACTTGAGGTCAGGGGTTCAAGACTGGCCTGGCCAACACGGTGAAACCCCATCTCTACTAAAAATACAAAGATTAGCCTGGCATGGTGGCGCACACCTGTAGTCTTAGCTACTAAGGAGCCTGAGGCAGGAGAATCACTTGAACCCGGGAGGCAAGAGGTTGCAGTGAGCTGAGATTGTGCCAGTATACTCCAGCCTGGGCAGTAGAGCAAGACTCTGTCTCAAGAAAAAGAACAGAGAACAAGTTAGAGTGCCTTCTTCTGTCTATAAGTCATGGAGGTCCCCTCGGGGAAGGAACCCAATCTTTTTGAGATGTACTATACCGGCCCCCCCCCACAGAGTATATTCTTCTTGTTACATGAAAGTTTTGTCATATGGATACTTTTACTCAGTACAATGGTGCAGTCTCAGCTCACTGCAACCTCTGCCTCTAGATTCAAGTGATTCTACTGTCTCAGCCTCCTAAGTGGTTGGGATTACAGGTGTGTACCCCCTTGTGCCTGGGTACACTCTACTAAAAATACAAAATTATTTTTTGTATTTTTAGTAGAGACAGGGTTTCACCATGGTGACCAGGCTAGTCTTGAACTCCTAATCCCAAGCAGTCCCCCCACCTCAGCCTCCCAAAGTGCTGGAATTACAGGTATGAGCCACCATGCCCAGCCTGTCATTTCATTTTGAAATGGAAATGTACTGAAAGTGCAACTTTCCTTCACATAACAGTGTTTTTAAGTGGAGACATCAGTTGTCACTTGAGAAACTGTGTTCTTCAATATTTCCTTAACAGAAATTCTATTCAGAAAAATTGAAATTGCAGTGAAACAGACATCATTCAATTTCACCATTAAAACTTTTTTTGGCTTCAAAAGTTCTACATTGGAGACATTGGAAATTAGAACATTTTTTATTGTTATTATCAATACTAACATAGTTTCTCTGAAACAGTTTCCCAAAATCCAGCTTCAAAAGTTTATTAACAATCTTGTAACTAATATATTTAAAACCCAAGAGTAGTTCCCTTAAAGATTCCTTGGGTACAAGGCAAGATCACAGTGAAGATGGAGCAGAATTCAAAATTTTTTCCAACCAGTCTAGCTTATTTCAAAATAGAAGTTAGAATTACAGTACAAAATTCTACCTTTTTTCTTTTTTAAAACTCATTGAACACCAGCTGTCACTGAAAACTCCCTACTAGAATAGGGTGTGAACACTCAAATGAGGTGAGCTACAGCCTCTCTGGCTAGAACTACTAAGATTTCTCTTAAGGGGTGCCCCAGGCTGGCCCTGCTTGCTCCAGAAGTCTGCTGTGGAGGAGCTGGTTGAGTATTAGAGTGGGAACTGAACAGTGATCGGGCCGCCGCTGCAAGACTGCCCCTAGAGGGACTCTCGGTGTCTCTTGCTGCTTTCTCTGCCTTCAGTGTCTGGATACTGAGAAAGATCTAGAGTCAAAACTCGGCTGAACATGCAGTCGTCGTACTAAAATGGAGAGAAGACAGTTAAAAGTTTCCCTAATTAGGGAAAAAGTATTAAAGTCAAATAAGAGCCATTAGTGAGTCTAGAATTGCATTCAAAAGGAATCTTCTTAAACCTAAAAAGGTATTATCTGCATTTATGTTGGTTTTGTGTTTTCTGGTATTGTCTGGTATGAGAATTTCCATTACTCGTGCATTATATTTCCAGGTGGTCCCCTAATATTCTGTAGGCACAAGAAGGGAAATTAATTTTTATCTTTGCTTAAAAGAAAATGCAGGAAGTGGCCGGGCGTGGTGGCTCAAGCCTGTAATCCCAGCACTTTGGGAGGCCAAGGTGGGTGGATCACGAGGTCAAGAGATCGAGGGCATCCTGGTCAACAAGGTGAAACCCCGTCTCTACTCAAAATACAAAAAATTAACTGGGCACGGTGGCGCGTGCCTGTAATCCCAGCTACTCAGGAGGCTGAGGCAGGAGAATTGCCTGATGAACCCAGGAGGCGGAGGTTGGGGTTAGCCGAGATTACGCCATTGCACTCCAGCCTGGGTAACAAGAGCGAAACTCCATCTCAAAAAAAAAAGAAAAGAAAATGCAGGAAGTAAGTCCTAACTGTCCAAAACCAAGTGACCTCAACTAGTGTGCTCTACTGAACTAGTTGCTCTATTCCATCAGTTCAGGTTAGTATTTTCAATGGCTTGAGAAAGGTGTATTCACATTTCAGAAGTTACTATACAACTTGGAACTTCTAATGAATTTGTTTTGTCCTCTGATACTTTTGGAAGCTAAATGGTTCCTTGTTCTATCACAGTACAATTTGTTTTTGCTTAAAACACTAAAATATTACAGAAGTATAATTAGTTTATGTAAATTAACAAGACTTTCACAAAACAAAACTATCCTACTTACTGTTCTGCAATTTTCCCTTTGCTTTTTTCACTTAAAATATATATTGTCACTATCATGCACACTTACCTTACAGGGAAAAAAAAAAATTATATATATATATGTAGTGTCAAGGAAAACACCAGTTGTTACTTTTAATCTTTCTTAATTAAAAAAATCATTTAAGCCTCAGACTCTATTTGGAAGTTTTAATTAGAAAAGGAAAGCCCGGTGGATGTCAGGGTACTAAGGGGAGTTGACAGTGGGTACACTCCCCTCCCCTCCGATTTATCTTTACCTCGGGATAGATACCGATTAGTGCATCGGCTCTGGAATAGAATTCTTCTTTTAGGGAGATAACTATCATCTGAAACTGGTCTTGAGTTTGCTCTTTGATGTAACTTGACACCTGGAAGAAATAAAAACACATTTCTCTAGGAAGGAAAGGCCTTGTTTGGGCCCTGGGACAGTGACTCTGCATGTCTAAGTCTAGTCAGTTTAGGTGAATGAGGACTTATCCACTTTTCTGATAGTTCAATAAATCCACAACAACTGAAGAAATGGAAATAGATTCTAAAATGAGAAACCTATGATCTAAGACTTTAACACTTTAAAGAATAAAGCTCCAACTTAAGATACTGTGATGTGAACAAGCAATCAGCCTTTGTAACAAAAGAAACTACCACTCAAAGTATTTTTTGAGGGTGAAAAAGGTCTGGTATTTAAACTTCTAACTTCCTGGCCGAGCACGGTGGCTCACACCTTTAATCCCAGCACTTTGGAAGGCCGAGGCAGGCGCAGCACCTGAGGTCAGGAGTTCAAGACCAGCCTGGCCAACATGGCAAAACCCCGTCTCTGTTAAAATTACAAAAATTAGGTTGGCATGGTGGCAGGTGCCTGTAATCCCAACTACTCAGGAGGCTGAGGCAGGAAAGGTGCTTTAACCCAAGAAACGGGTTGCAGTGAGCCAAGATCATGCCAGCACACTCTAGGCTGGGCGGCAGAGTGAGAGATTCTAACAACAAACTTCCAACTTCCTGTTTTGCCAAATCAAAGCCTGAAGGGAAAAATAGGACAACTGATTATGGATTATGATATAAGTCATTTGGTTAGAGGTGAACTCTGGTTCCTTCAGGAAGCTCAATTCCAAGGAAATGGGCAGTGTAAAATGAATTCAATAAAGACAAGTCTTGGTGAACAAAGTACTCAGAACTTAAGAGCATGATCAACCCCAAGAAAAGAAAAACTATCAACAGTCTACCAAAGGTACTGCCAACTCCTGGGATTTCTCTGAGGGCCTAGAATGGGTCTTCTCCATGTGTATTGGTTCTGACTGCACCAAAGATCCTATGGACACAAGCTCTGGAAGTAGGAACAGCAACTTCCTTTGAAGAGTGAGTCACTGGCCATGTTTTACAAGAGAAAAGAAAGAAACTGCTCTAAGAGGCTGAGTTCATAGAAGGAACTTCCAGCATGAGAGGCAATGGCAATAGCCATTATGACAGGACTACAAAAAAATGGGCTTGAGCCCATAATAGAAGAAGAAGAGGAGACAGGATGCGGAGATGCATGGCATGCATTTTTCCTGGAGTTACCAATTGTGAATGCTGGGCACCCTAATCACAAGAGGGAGTGGAGGGTTTTTCATAGTTCCTTATACTACATAACTGCTCATACTCAATTTAGCCACAGCGTGTCAGCTAACATCTCAAAGGGATAAAGCAATTAAAAGGTCTTAATACATAGGATGGATACTAATAAGAGTCTTAAGACAGACCTAGTACCTGGAGATGCCACCAATGCAAACATCTAATTCTTTCTAAAACATGGATACCTTAAATGCAACCAAGAAAAGATAGCCACAAAGATTTCCCTTCACAGGATATGGGGTATAAAGTGCCAAAACTACCCTCCTAAGGGAAGATTTCTCGCAAATGAATCAGCCATGGAATCCAGTCATTAATGATGCACATTGGCTGGCATTCAAGAAACAAGATGTTCTTTTGTTCCTATGTTTTCTTCCCTCAGTTACCATGAAGTTTCTGGCAGAGACTTTTTGCAGGTAT